TAATTGTCATCAACCCTCAGTGCTGAGTGTAAACTCTCCTTCAAATAACGATTGTCTCAAAGTAGAATTTCACCATAAACAGAGGCACATTAACTCAGGCCCGTGCATCTTTACTAACAAAACGCACACAAACCTCCCTGCATGATTTACCTGGTTGAGTTAATTTAAATAATAACAACATCAAGTGCACTTCACGCTTAATTAGCTCCCTTCACGCAGGATAACATCTTTGAGCACTGACAAGGTTTGACGCTGAGCAAGTGTAGAAGGGGAGGGGTAGGTGACCTTGGGCATGATCGAAGAGGTAGGTCATAAGGTGGTAATTAAAGATAGATAAAGAGGGAGAGATAAAGAGTGCATATATTTTTCAGCCAGATAAATACCGTCACCGATGGTGGCACGGAGGGCTTAGTGAACATGTAACAGGCCTATGTTAGCTAAATGACAAGTACATAAATTACCTTCTGTCCCTATACCTGTCTTTGTACTATGCCTCATTCCATGGCACCGTTATACTAAGTTAATTACAGGATTTCAAGGCATTCAATTTAATGGATTGAAGTTTTTGAGTGCGAAATTCCTGCTAGTGATGGGTATATGTAGCAATTATTAGCAGTTATGTAGAATTCACTTCATACTATACCTGTAGTATAACCTGTTTTACACTAGGGATCTCAGATCAATAGAACTAAACAGAAGTGATGTAAGATAACAAAGATGACTCATTCGGGTTCCCATCAGCTGAAGTGTAACTTGAGATTCGACCAAAGCCAGTATTTTACCTTTCTTATTGAAAGTTTTTTTTTAAAAAAGGCTCTTCGGTGTTCTGCAGGTCTGTCACTGCACAACTAATGTTATTAAACATGAGATAAGACGTTAAACAGTGAACATTGAATATCCCACAGCACAATTCAGAAAGAGAAGGGAATTTCTTCCAGTGTGCTAGGCCACACTTTATCGCTGTTTGTGGGAAATTGCTGTGTGTGAATTGGCTGCCATGTTCACTTACAAAATAAAGTCACTATAGTTTACAATAATCCTATGAAGCATTTTGAGGCATCCCATTTGATCTTAACCTTCCAGAATTCCCACCCTATCATCTTCCCATCACAGTATCAACCTGTTTCTTAAGAGTCCAATATGCTGCCGTCATCTGACAATCTGTTCCAGTTGTTAATTACCATCTAGGAAAAGAAAACCTTCCTGGTATATGTCCTGAAATTGCCCTTTGCAACCCTAAACCTTTGTCCTCTTGTTGTACTGACTTGGCACATTCTAAAGTATTGTTCTGGGTTTACTTTATCAATCCCATTTAAAATTTTATACACTTCCATAAGTTCCTCTCTGATATGTCTCCTTTCAATACTAGCTTATCTAATTGTTACTCATAAATCATTCCTCCAACACTAGGGATCATCCTTGTTGCTCCCCTCAGCATTGCCTCGAGGCCAGAGCAGCCCCTTCTGTCACTGTGCCCAGAAATGACTGTAGTACTCTATTACTTCTCATCAATTTAATAGCGTAAAGTACATTAGTAGGAAAGGCTGGTGACACAGCAGTACTATTGCTACATAATGAACTGAGAAACAAATAGTGTACAAGTCAACCAACTCTCTTGCTTCTCGTTTGTACAGTAGCTGGTTCACAAAGCAGCATTCGCAGGGGCATGGGAACAGACAACCTTCCTGAGTTTTAAATTTGCGAATGCTGCTTAGGAAAGCAAACCTAAAAAGGAGATGGAATAAGTTACAGAAAGGAAACATTTTAAGTGCAGAATGTATTAATAGCAATAAATAACATACTATTTATTGCCTTTATCCTTTTTGGAAGTTATGGATGCCATTCTACCATTGCGTTGCCAAGACTGAAGTAAACAGAATTACTATACATGATTAAAGATGACTAGTCTTGTCCTATGTTCCTGGCAATATAATCTGTCCATTTGTTAATCACTGAATTATTGGTGTGTGTGTGTATGGAGGGAGTGGGGTGGGGGTGGGCGGGAGAGTCTATATCACAAGAAAAAAATCCAATTTATATTATTTGAAAACTTCAGTACAACTTATTTCTTACCAGCAACCATGTATCCAGTTCTTAACTGAGTAAATGTGTTAATGGTACAACTCTTTGTTTTGTTGAATTATCATGGAAGCAACCATTGTTGGTTTATACTATATATACAATACTATCCCTTTCCCCTCACCATGCTCTTGGTTCGCTACCTGCCTGCACACACACAGTAAAAGTGCAACAAGGTTAGTTGTTCCCTGTAAAGTACGTTTTGAGATTTAAACTGGAAAAGCAATTTATAAATGTGCAGGGATTGATTATACCCAGATGTAAGATGTAAAAAAAACACAACCTTCATAAAGGCAGCCGATATGCACAGAAGTTGATGTATGTTATTGCAATTCAAATAAAATGGCTAATGCAATTGGCTGCCATGTTTCATCCACAAAATACACAGTGACTACATTTTACAGTATATTCTGTGAAGCACTTTGAGACGTCTCAATGATGTGATCAGGCGCTATATCAAATCCAAGGATTATTATTACTGTTAAATCAGTATAACAACATCTTGATAGTGCCATTCATGGAAACTTTTTTTAAATGGAGAGTGCTTTTTTGGTCAGACAAGTATGTAATACATGTAGAAACCCCATCACTATGCTTAAAGGTATCCAACCAGATTGAGAGTCCACATTTGCATGCCACATTTCCCTGTGGCTGTGATGCAATGTGCACTCTCTCCCTAGAGAGATGTACCCTGCTTACCTAATTCCAAAAATGTATTTGTTACAGGTTGACAGGAACCCCCGGCTTAGGGATGGCAGGGTGTGAGCACATCGTGAGCACTGCCGGCAAGTTTCCTGCTGTTTGCCCAGTTAGGAACATCCTACCTGTTAGGGCTTTTGGCTTGCAGTGTTAATAGTTGCTGAGTGGGAAGAATCCCAGACCCCAGTGACTGGTCTGCTAACAAGTCAGCTTGGCTGGCTGTCATTAGCAGTACCTTGAAGTAATTTGGACCCGCCTGGCCCAGGAGCCAGACTACTGAGACCACTCCAGAGGGTTGGCTCGGTTCTGAGATTCTGTTGCCAAACACATCACCTTGGACCTAGCCCAAACGACACCCAGCTTATCCCCCTCCAAGGAAACTAAAAGCTTTGCCCCAAAAATATACAGTCCATTCACTTTACAGTATATTCTGTGAAGCACTTTGAAACATCTCGAAGACATGATAAGGTACTATCTCAAATGCAAAGATTATTATTATTATTATAAAGTAATTGTTCATTTGACAAGCACAGGTTGAGATGGTCAACCTGAGGACCTTTGGTGCCTCATCAGCACTTTGGCACATTGGTATTACAATGTGAAAATGAATTCAGTGATAATCATTAGCCAAATTTCCTCTTATTCAATCATAATAGCTTTTCTGCACAAGTTACCACTTGCTGAAAACAGACATGATAATACTGGGGGGTGGGGAATGTCTCCTGTATTTTTCTAGCTACCTTACACATTTGAAAATATCAGTACCTTGTTCCTTGTCAGCAATTTGTTTTGCTGATGTCTTGTTGACTGAAGGCTATTGCTCTCCGGCAGGTGATTTAACCCAAGTGTGCTTTCTGAAGGTGACTCCTTAGGTTCTGTGTGGGTGGTGATGTTGCCTTCATTTGCCTACAAAAACTGTCACTACACTTAGTTGTATTGTAATTAGAGTAAAGTGCCTTGAGACACTTTGACATGACAAACTGCAATAAAAATGCAAGTTCTTTCTTTTTCAATTTAAATTTTCTTTGCTCTTAGTTACTGTGCTATTTGCTCTATTTATTATTAATTTGGTAAAATGTTAATTTAGGGTAAAGGAGTGGGCGGGGGGTGATTCCCATTTAGCTCCTTTTGCATTCCATTCCAGATGAAAGGAAATTTCCATGTGGTGGGTGGCATTCATAGGTGGAACTGTAACTTTGGTTTGGACACTCTTAAGTTAGGCTTCCATGTGTGTCATGCATTTGGCTGCCTGGGAAAAAAAGATACAGAAGAATTTGCCTCCTATCAAAATGGGAAATTTCCTTCACTGGCACTGAGGGATTAAACCTGGTGGTACAGTGGTTAAATCACGACTACTGGCAAGTGGCTGGCTGAAAGGTTTAAAGGTTTAAAGCTTAACACTAAAATGTTTCCCTACTTTACTGATCTTTTTTCTTACACTGTCCTAATTTTTCTTGTGATTTTTCAAATTGATGTGTGAAGCACCATGAAGGAGTGTCGTTAGCAATTTTCATGTTTGTTTGGATGTTTCAGTGTGCCTGTACACATAAATTTACATGACATTATAGTGCAAGTTTTTAACCTAATACATTTATTGTTGCATTTGTGGTTGGTCCAAAGTGTACAGCTATAGAATCAAGTGTGACATGAATCTATTCTGTAAATATACAGCACTGATTTATTTCTTTATTTACCTTTTCTTATTGAATCTCTAACCATTGTACAGAACAGCTTCTACCATGGCCTTTATATTTTTCTATATGGATTATTGCTTTTTGTAATTTATGGTGGGTAAACAGTAACCGACACTCCTTTTGCATCTGATACATATGGGATAACAGATGGCCAACAGTGAGTTACAAAGCATAATTGAATCAAGCAGTTCTAATGATGCTATAAAGCATGAGAGTGAAGCTCGAATGTTTTATGAATGTTTCCAAATGCCTGAAATTCAATTACTGCCTTAAACACATTGCAAAGCAATTTCCCTCCAATTCAACCCCCCTCTTTCCCCTCCTCCCCCCCCTCCCCCTATCCCCCCACCCCCCCCCCCCCCCCCCCACCGCCCACAAACTGCACCATCATCTGTCCTCTTCTTGAAGGCAGAGATTTATGCTGAAGTGGATTCACAGGCAGTGGCCAGTGCCTGTAAAAAGTGTTACAAGTGACCGTATAAACAAGAAATTTGCCAGTGATTGCTCATTGAAAAAGGATCAGCTCACCCATATGAAGTCTTTAGACAGCTTCTTAAATTTCTATCACTGATTTCTTCTTGAGGGTTTTCTGTTACTTTCTTGTGACATAACAGCCCATAATTTTTCTGATTGTTATTTGCCCAGTACGTACCGATAGGCGTTTCATAGCATATGGCAAATTCAACTTTGCCCCCATCTTTGCGTTCGGGGGGCACGAATGATACTTTAAAGGTGAATTGGTCGGTTTCATCGTCGCAGAAACCAGGGGTGTATTCAGCTGGCAGGTCGCAGTAGCTGTCCCAATTGTTAAGTGTCACTCGAACGTATACCAGCTTTTCATATGCTATGTTCTGCACACGGATCACTCCCTTCATGGACGTGAACTCAGGGGGAAACTCCACGAATTCTAGTTCCACTTTTTGCGCAAAAACCTTTTCCATAAGTTCCTCGGGAGAGGCTGGCACCTCAAACGATGGTGTTAGCACATATTCCTCGGGAGGTGGGCCCTCATCCTGCACATTGTAGCCGAGAGGTCCTGTCGGAACATCCCATTTGTCATATTCCCTGACTGATACAAGTTCTAGCCCAAATGTATCGGCAAAGGAAACCTTTCGGTTAAGAGTAGTAGGAGGTTCTGGACTTTCGTCCTCCTCTGAAGATCTCCGTCTTCGGGGAAGAGGAGACAGCTTGGGCTTTATCAAACTCTCATTCGTCTCCTCGTCCTCAGCGAACACATCGTTTTCATCTGGCAGCTCCAGGAAACTGGCTCCCCAAAACATTTGGTCGTTCACAGTCGACTCCATGAGTGAGTCTGAAATACCCCGAAGCAAGGTCTCTCAACTAGTGGCTGTGGATATCTGGGGCACTCAAGTTTAACGCAGCAGCTTTGGTTACAGTTGACATTGTAAAAGCGCTCAGGCCTATTAATAGTTCCACTGGCGTGTAAACTATGCTGGTCTGTCTTCACCAAGACTTGTTGCTGTGAGCACTACCATCAATGCTCTGCTTTTGGCTCTTTGCACAAAGAGTTGAGCCAAATTGCATTTTATAAATGACACAAAAGAAGCTTCAGCTGTGGAAGCAAACATTCTCATCCATTTTAGTCCAGGGAATTTGGATTTGACCAAGAAGCACTTTGTTTTTGCAGTTTTGTTGGCAAGCAAGCCATTCCGCCCCATATCACATCAAATTGCAATTTGAATTAAATCTTGTCGCTTAATAATGATAATAATAATCCTTGATTTTGACATGTAATAGGAAAATGCATAATGTTGCATCTGTTAAGATGAGAGACACAGAAAATTCTGCACAATGTTTGCAACCTTTCCATTCAATGTTTAGGAAGGTGACAGCTCCACTTAATGGTTCAAATATGAGACTGCTTAAATGTTTGACAGAAAGATTTGTTAAAAAATGTTTAAACTCAAAGTGAACCTAACCTTCTGTAGGTTTTAAATGTCTGAAGAAATATATCAATAAATCAGAAAAATATCGGTAAATCATGGCACTATATTTTGCAGGGATGTGTCGCTGACTGCAACGTGTGTGTGAAATTTTTTTTAATTTTGCTTTTCGTTTTGTGGGTGTTTTAAATTAACTTTTAAAAATGCATTAAAATGCAATAAAGACATTCGCCTCAAGAATAAACAGTTAATGATTCTAACCTCATAATCCTACAAGTCAAAAGAAACATATAATATATAATTGATGACATGCTGTTTGACAGCAGCTGGATTCAAAGGAACACTTGGTTTGATAGACTTCACATATCACATATCACCTTCCTGAGTTCTACACCAACTGACCTATTCAAGCGCTGTCCATCTAATGATGCAACTCTGATAATGGGAACAATAAAGAAGAATCTGGATTTTGCATTCTTCCATTATAAATTAATATTGTAAATGCCATCTTCATGGGATCTCCTGTACAGTGCAGTGACTGTGTATTTGTAGGTGAACATGAACGCAGCTAATTTGCGTACAGCAATGTCCCACAAACAACCATGAAATGAATACTATTTTTTTTAATCTGGTGGATTGTTGGCCAGGGTACTGGGAGAAATCTCAGCCTAAGCTATGAGCTCAAGTTAAACGATGCAACAAGTTCAGTGACGCACAAATTCACCATTACTTAGTTACTTTTTTCAAAAGGGAAACTAGATATTTTTCTGTCAATCAAAAGTATTCACTTATATATGCGTGTATACAATACATATCAAAGGAAACTTATGGTTGTTCAATGGATAGACTATATAATCCACTGCTATCTAAAATTAGGGTTGAATTTACAGAATTATTTAATGGGATTGCTTAATGAAGAATCTGAGTTGCACAAATGTTGCTACTTTCAGTAATTGGACGTACATCATGTTGAGCCATGGGAATTCAGAAGCAGAGGAGTTTAAATGGGTCAGTGGAAAATCTAACCAGATTTATTTTCTATTGAGAAATACTGCAAATTAGCACCCCTTTTATTGACCATTACATTTGCCTGTGATTTTGAGACTTCAGCAACAGTAATCTGTTAGTCTAACTGTGCTTGTTATACTTTCTACTGGTACTGAAACATTGATACATATTTCTCAGGAATCTCATCCAGTTAAAATGTGGCAGGAAGCCAGTCTTGCAGAATATTTAAATGTTCCACTTTAAGTGTACTGATCTTAGTCTGTTCTTGACCAGGGCATGTCTTTCCCCCGTGAAACACTGGAGCTGTGGAGAGTGGAGCTGTGAGAGAAGCCCAAGCAATTTAGAAGATTCTGAAGATTCACTATGGGATCTTTCTTTTGATGACCATTTGTGAATGACTCCAGGTGGGAAAAACCTGCAAGAGCAAGTTAACATTGAAATGTAAAGGCAACAGTCATAAAATGAATTGACTAAATTTATTTATTGAAATGTCGATAGGCAACATGTGAACGAGCAAAATAAAGTAGATGCAAATTTTAGAATACCAAAACAACATTTATTTATAATATTAATTACATAGAACATTATGGCATGGAAACAGGCCAGTCAGCCCAGCTAGTCCTGTAGCTTTGTGGTGAGGGGGGTTTAGGGAGGTTGGAGGGCAGCGAGGCTAGGATGGTGGCCAAAGGCACAGTTGAGAGGAGGGTCTTGAGGCATTCCTTGAAGGAGGCGAGGGAGTGAGGCGAAGGGAATGTGGGATGGAATTCCAGAGGGGCAAAGAGGCTGAAGGCCCGACCGCTGCTGGCGGGGCGGGCTGAACGGGGGAGGTGGAGCAGGCTGGAGCCTGCTGAGCAGAGGGAGCAGACAGGTTGATAAGGGTTTAGCAGGTCGGAGAGGTAGGAGGTGGCAAGGCCATGGAGGTCCTTGAAGGTGAGGAACAGGATTTTGAACTCAATCCTCTGAGGGATATCAAATGCAAGGTTTATCATTATTAGTCCATGCTGGTGTTCATACTCCACATCAGCCTCCACTCCGCCTAATCCCTACTCCATATCCCTCTATTCCCAAACCCGTTTTGGCATACACTATAAGGAATAAATAGATACAGCTACCTTCATTTCCTTTTGTGCAGTCAAAAACCTAGCCTGAGCTCGTCAGTTTAATACTCATGCCATGTTTTAATTTGTTTTCCTAATCTATTGGGGAGGAATTCCTCCTGGTTCTATTTTTGCGGCATTTCAGAGCATGCAGAATTTGGCAAATTCTTAAATACAGCCTTCATTTTGCGGTTGGTTTTCTGTTATTATTTTCACAGAAAACTGAGCTTCAAAGGTAAGACTGAATTCAACTACTTGCCAAATTCTGGCTGCTCTGAAATGCCACATTAATAGAGTAAATCTAGACCCAGCTGGAATTACTCCCCTTAAGTGTATTTTAGCTTAATCTGGATGTTATCTCATCTCAAAGTTTTCTGTGTTTACCCCAGAAATTGAACTGAAATCCTTGATGGTGCTGTCATACTTGTGAAAGAAGAGAAGAGACTAATGTCAGTCTAACAATTTGTCTCTACAAGCTGCCATAATGTAAGTATATAGTAGCTGTTTGATCAGACATATGACTTGCAGTTTATCATTGTTTTCTGGTTCAGGCTCATTCTTTATTGTCCAGCAATGTTTACACAATTCTGTATGAAAGCAATAAGCAGAGAAATTCTTCATGTTATGTCCTACCTTTTTGTGGTTGCTTTTCTCTTATCTCGCTGAACTAACAAATTACTGATTAATGTGAGAGGCAGCTGAACTGCAGTACTGAAAACATGATCTCAGACAGAAACATTTACAATGCATGAAGACAACACTGCGGAGGAGTCTGAAACAATGGTAACCCAGAAGAGGAACAGGAGGAATCTAAATTTGCCTTTGAAGGCCACAATCCATCAACACATAAGCCTCAAACCCCAAAAGTGTCAGTCAAAAGCCATCGCTCTCCTACATAGCAGTGTTTGTTAAGGCAATCCTCCCTTCTCAATGAATAAACTAAGCTTGGCTTAAGCTTAGAAATATATCAACAAACTACTTCAATTAAAAATCGCAGACAGGATTGAAAACATTGAATCACTTATCACGGAATGGCTGTCTGCCTTTGTAAATGTGGCTCATGTGAGGTTGGGACAAAGAATAGTTGGAGCACCCACTCAGGCAATTTTGTTCCTGGTGATTTCAGACAGGACCATAGTCCAGGAAAAAAGGGACACGAAACAGCTTTAGAAACTCTTGCTGTCTGGAGTTATTGTACTTTACAGTTGTGTCATTGTGTCGTTTTCAATCGGCTTCTATTATTGGAATCGACCCATGTTACAAAGGATCCATGGAGACGAAGCTTTATTTAGATTCCGAGTTAGAGACAATATTTCAAGTGTCCTTATTGGAAATAGCACAGATACAGAGTGAGTGGAGAATGCACAAATATTGGACAGCTGGACAATTCAAAGCACAGATTCCTAGAGGAATACTGGTTCCCATATCCATCAGTTAATTATCTATGTTTAACTCCAGCCATTCCTGAGAGGTTTGTTTACCCTTGTTTTTCAACTAATATTCGGTACATATTTTAGAACTCTGCATGCTAACCTTCCAATAGTAAGGAATGAAGAAGGTTTTCTAAACATTGTGGCATTTTGAGAAGTTTTGTAGAGATGCAAACATAGAACATGAAGTAAGTGACTCTAATTGTTACTATTACACCACAGCTCATGTGTTTGGATAAATCATATGAATTTGTTTAACTTGACTTACTTTCAAGTCTTCAGCAATTTACAAATGAGCTTAGAACCTCCTTGCACTGTTTGTTTGACCTTTCTTCATCAAAGTTTTAGTTGAGGCCAGTATGAGATGCTCGGTGGATAACACAATGGAAAAGAATCCCTCCTCATTACAGTTGAAACTGGGTTTATATATTTCCTCTTTTTTGTTTTTGCCTACCCTTTGTATCTCGAAGAAGAGGACACAGAGGTGAAATACTCTCAGGTCGCTGCTCGTACACCTCTGTAGTTCAAGCATGAGCTCCATCCAGGCCTCCGGTCACTTGCGGAGTGAGTTCCTCAAGGCTCTATCCTTATTCCCTTTTCTTTTTCTGATCTATATGCTTCCCCTTTGTGACATTATTCCCATGCATGGTCCACTTCCACACATTTGCGATGAGAGTCAACTCTACCTAGCCTTTCTACTCTCAACTCCACTTGTCAGTCATCAAGTCATAGACAATCCATAACTTTCTCCAAATTAAGATCAACAAAACCAAGACTATCCTGTTTGGCTCTCAACAGCACCTCCCGCTTTTCCTCTGTGTCACCTCCCAATGGCTCTGTGTATGTGTGGGGGATATTGTGAGTAAAATGTTCAGTTCTATGACTTGCTTTGTGACTTTCTTTTAACATACTTATCTAAAATTATGATACACAAAGAGATGCAC